AAGTCTGCTGCATGGCTATGCTCTTCTACAATCTTCACTATCGTTTCATTGATGTAGACTTCTAAGTTATACCCTATCTAGTGGGAGAATACGATGTCTATGAGTCACTGGTAAGTAGCACCTGCATTCTTGGATCCTAAGGACATGACATTATAATAGTAGTTACCATAATTTTGGCATGAACACCATCTTGCGTGCGTCAAAGGGATCCGTCTTAATATGGTTGTACCTCAAATAGGCATCCACGAAGCTCAACATGCACTAACCTAGGGACCCGTCAATCAATAAGTCAATATCAAAAAGAGGATAAGGGTCTTTGGGACAGGCCGTATTGAGGTTGGTGAAATCAATGCACATGTGCCACTTGTTCGATGTTTTCCTTACCATCACTACATTGGCTAACCAGGTTGGTTATTTTGTTTCTATGATGAGAACGACGCTTGCTAGCTTGTTTACCTCCTCATCGATGGTAGATCTCTTCTCCTTGCTGAATTTCTATTTTCTTTGTGATGCTAGTCTTACAGGAGGGTTAACAGCGGGGCGATGACACACCACTCTAGTATCTATCCCTGACATGTCATATGGGGCATAGACAAACAAGATAACATTTCTAATGAGTTGGTATACTAGTTTACGCTCTTCTTCTATAGAAACTAAGGTGCCTATCTTCGTCACGTGGTGAGCTAAAAGACCTATCTGAACCTCCTTCAAATCCTCTATGGGCATGAGCCTCTTGTTTTCCACGCCCAGTCTGGAGTCCTAACTCGTAGTATTTGTGTCATGTGCGTCTGGAGATGGGGAAGCCTAGTGGGCAGGATCCTCTCTTCCCATCGCCTGGCTTATCAGGTAACATTCTTGGGCGCTTATATGGTCTCCTCGAATCGTCTTGACTCGCCTGTTTGGGAGCAAGTATTTTAGGATTAGGTACTGGGTGGATATAATTTCCCCTAACAAGTTGATGGTTGGCCTGCCAAGGATGATGTTATAGAGAAATAAAGTGTCTATTATGCAATAGTTGACTTCAATTGCCTTAGAATCTTCTCCCACGCCATATGTTTTCTCTAGGGTTATGTGATCCTTTACTTCTACCTGCTCACCTAAAAAACTTACTAGCGAACCCTGGAACACCTTAATGTTGTCAGATCAAGTTGGAGTTTCTAAAAGGTGTTACTGAATAAGATGTCAGTTAAGCTACCTAGGTCTATCTAGACTCACTTGATATCCCACTTACCATGTGTTCGCATGCAGTTTTCGAGCGAACAACCTCTGACCTCCTAACGCAGGTTTACTTGCGGGACCGACCAAACAAGTCCCAGAACGAACCGGTCGAGTATATGAGATGATGGTGAAATGATGTTGTTTAGAATAGGTTGAAGATAAATTTGAGAAAAATTGTGTAGACTTAAATAAAGAAAAATGAATAAACAAGAAAAGACAAAAATAAAAGACAAGAAATCTTTAAAGTTAGTAATATAAATTGCTATTAAAAGGAAATGTGGTCGCGATCATACATTTTGCAGGAATGAAACTCTTTTCTCTTAACGCTTGGTACTTAGAGTGTTTTTCCCTTACAATGTTACAAAATGTGTCCCCCAAAATGAACATGGGCATTGCCTTAAATAGGAAAATAAAATAACTACTATGTTGATCTTGGTGGCGCCACGTGTCCTTCCACCACTTCTGTAACTTCCCACGTTCTCATTTTTTCAAATTTTCTTCCCGCTCAAACGTTCTTCTACTTCGTGTCGGCTTCCTCGACATCTTCGACGAAATAGGCCTGAGTCGACTCACAAAACTCCCTCTGCTGGCGTCGACTCACATTGTTTCCTTTACCACCTTTCCCAGCCTGTCGACCCACAAGCCAATCTCTGTGTCTCCTTTCCTTAGTCGAAACTTCCATCCAATACCGTGTTGCATAATGATAACCACGAGGTCATTGTAATGAGGAAGACTCTTATGACATCACTGCTAGAGAAAGTGATGTTGGTCCCTGGTCCTCTCTGCTTGGCTTTGGAGAGTCTTGTGGATATTAAGTTGATAGTCAACACCTGCTTGACGTATTTCCTTTTGGATGAGGTGAAACTTTCTCTGCCCGTGAAACCTCTGACTATGGTATTAACCACGAAATCTAAATCTTTGTTGGTCATTTCAAGAAAAGCTAGTGAAAATGGAAATTATGATGAAAGATGTGGCCCAAGTTAGTTTTACAGTAGCCTCACGGTGGGCGTCATTCTACTTGTCAAAGAAATATAAAGGCAGGGAACCCTTATGCTTGTAGGGGTGGCTAGAGGATCTAAAGATTTTTGGTGGTTTAAGGTAGAGTGTACATGGGTTGGGTCAACCCACAAAACCCGATCAAACCCACCAAAAAATTCAAAAAAGTGGGTTGGGTCGGGTAATTGGGTGGATATGGATATGAGTTTAAAAATTAAAAGTCTCATTAAAAAATATGGGTTTCGGATAAAACCGGACTCAAACCAAAAAAAACCACTGACCAACTAATTAAACATTTGTTATTACAATTTTAATGATTTTGATGAATATTAACTTAGTTGTTGCAATTTTAGTCTCTTGAACATTTACTATTTTAGTGAATCATGACTTTAACTAATTTTGATATTACACTATTTGATTATTTTGATATTAATACGAATTTTATGTCATGCAACTTTAGTTTGTTGTTAGTATTTTATGATAATTTTTATTTGTTGATGTTATCATTTATTATTTTATGATGCTAAAAAATAGTAAAAATAGTAATCTAATTCTTTTAAAAAGATAAAAATATTGAGTTTTATGAAAATATATGATTACTCATTATTTAGTCATTTAATATTAATAAAACAGTAAAATTATTTGGTCAACCCGCTATCTAACTCAACCCAACCCGAAAATTAGTAGGTTTGGCTAAACCGAACAATTGGTGTAGTGGGTGGTTATTTTACCTCACTCAAACCAGAGTGTCCTATACGGATTAGGTATTGGATTTGGTCAAACCCAATTCAAACCGGCCCATGTACACCCCTAGTTTAAGGCTTGTTCACACTGATGAGAAACTCTGTTCAATGGTGTTTTTGGACATGAAGAGAGCAAATTCACGTGGGGTGAGAAACTCTATATTCTTAAGGTAATTGGTGTGTATTCTGAATTCCCCCTCTAAACTCTAACATCAAGGTATTTATAGAGGGTTATGTGCGTGAAGTTAGGGTTTTGTAAGAATGACAACTTGAAGCGTCAAATCTCTATATCTTAGATTTTAAATTTTCTCTGACAAAGACATGTGATTTCTCAGGTTTTCTTAAAATTAGGCGAGTTAGGGAATGTTTAAGGCGAAATTGTTCCAATAGCTAATGGTATAAAGATGCGGCCCCTTACTGGTGGCACAGTCCCTTCGCCCTTGGTGGATTGATTCTCTGCAAATATATTGCTACATCTTATAACAACTTTTTATAGTGGATAGGAGATCTGTTACCCTAAATTGTTAGAGTATATGTGGTTGCCATTGTTAGACTACAATAGTCTTTACGGATGCAATTGGTGCTACAAAATACTCCCACCATATTTTGGATGACTTAAAACGTAGATAAATAATCTTATAAACAAAACAAAAGTTGATAAGAAAAAAGTGGAAGCAACAAACAACTGTACCTCTTCCACTATACTACTACATGTTCAACTTTATGAAAACACAGTGGCATACCATTGGTCCCTAATAAAGCATGCATGCACCTCAATTATATTTGGCAATCAATCAACTTAAAGTACAAACACTTAATCAAAACAAAACTACCAAATTACTCAAAAGAGCAGAGCATTTAAGAAGAAAAAACTGTCCCAGACAAGAAGGACACATAAAATGTTTCCATTAATGTAACAGCCAGAAGGGAAAACCCCGGTATCTTTGCTGAAGCATTCTGGTTTTAAAATCAACCACAACTACTGTTTGTTGTTACATTACAACATGGACCACCACACTTTTGATTCCACACAAATAGTGTGATCATGTCCTCAACTTGTGCTATTGCAATCACACCAAGTAGAAATTAAACAGTACTCTTCAATCTTTGTATCTTTCTGTAATGCCAGCAAGAGTATCCTCAACATTTTTTATCTTTATGTTGTATTTTTATGGTACAAATACAATTGAGTGATTTGAATATTTTTTTTGTACTTTTTTGTTGTTAGTCTTTTCAGTTCTTTTGTCATTGTCCTTTAAAAATAATTTTGTTTAATAATATTTAAAATATATATATATATATTCTGCATGAAATATAAATATTTTAAAAATTGATATATTTCGTTTAAAAAATTATATAATACCCCAACTTTTCAAATACTCTTTACTTATAATTTGCAAAAATGAATGTCACTTTGATAAGTTAAACAAAAAATTAATATTATTTTTCAATTTCTAGACTAAAATTAATGAATTTTTATAATTGTACTTTCGAGTAGGGTAACTTAACTAGACAAAAATATCCATTTTCTATATACCAAAAAGCAGGACAGGGGCAATAAACAAAACCATTTGAACAAACAAACAACCTTCCAATTCAGACCATGTTGTCTCTGATCTCAAACGCCATTGTCAGTAACAACACTTAATGAGATAAGTAGCTTTTTTTTTTCTTAACATGATTATGACCATAAAATACAGTACAGTCAGAACCAGATTGAACCGAACAGTGTTACCGGTTGAACTTGAACCGAACGATTCTCCGGTGATTGAATTGAACCAATTGAGCCATGATATACAAGTTTTTCCATAGCTCTTAATATTTGATTTTACTATGTAATATAGGATTGAATATGTAATTCAAATAATAATTATTTACAAGAAGTTCCCCAAAGGGAGGAAAATATAACTCAATAAAAAAAAATTATACAACACTGAACTTTCGTTCAAGATTTTAAGATCTAGATCATGATTTTCACAACCTTGCTTATGTTGACGCATGAAACAATACAGCAATATTTCCAGAAGGTTTTGCATGGTTGCTCTATTCGTTTTGTAAAGAAGAGAGCATAATGTCTGTGTGTACAGAAAAAAGCTGTGTATCGATGAAAAGCTGTTTAGCACAAAGCAACATAGTTTAATAAATCTGCATCAGTGGTCTGAATACAACAACAGAATAGAAAATCTTTAAAGAAAAAGTAAAATTGTTTACATAGTTAGCATAAAGAATGATGTAAGGGAAAGACATAAACCTTCATGAAAGGCTGATCGCGGTATGAGAATGAGCCGATGAAACTCTCTTTCAAAAGCAAAGATACCTAAAGGTACAAAAACTACAAATTAACATCACATATCTAACTTCATTTGCTGCTGAGAATGAAATACAGACCTTATCGTCGTTTGATTGTACATTGGTAATTGTGTGAGAACGGATGTTATAGCAAAGAGAATCCAGATAAGACCGCAACACTGAAAGGAACCCCTTGGCAGCTCCAATCTGTAGAGACACAAACGCTCATAAGAACAACTGTAAAAAATCAGATATACTACTTGAATCTTTCTGAGGATGCGCTTGAATTTTTCTTTAAGAGCACACCTGCAATTCTGTGCAATCATAAACTGGCCTTCTCTTTCCCAAGTAACTTTCTCCTACAAGAGTGTCGTGATAAGGGCGTAAAGAGGATATTAGCTCTTTTTGTCTTGGCAGTTGTGGTAGCGTTGGCGACTTCACCTATTGCAACAAATTATAAGATAAGTACATGAAAAACATATTAACGAAAATCATGTACATTTAAGCATGTATATTTGAACAAAATTTGAATGTTCAATGAATATCATGTTTAATAGAACACTAGACAATCATTGATAATAACGTTCACAATAGTGGCTAATAGCATTCAAAATTGCAGTTAATTATGTTTAGTGAACGGTTAATAAGTTGTGACACATGTTTCTATTTATTAATAAGCCGATTTTTACTATCACTAAAAAGCTACATTAAAAACACAAACCTGGTTTCTGTTGGCATCAACCACAATAACATTGGTAAACTTCGACTGGACTTCACTGATCTTGTTCTTGATACCAACCTAGAGGATTAATTTTTTAGGCAATCAGAGACGCCAGCAATGGTATTATTAAATGGTGATTAAGATGATAGTAATATAAAGTCGGTTGAACTTAAGATAAGAATACACCATTCGGAAAAAAGAAGAAAAGAAAACAGAAGATAAGAATACTCACTATGTAAGGAACAGGTGCATCTAAAAAGTCAAGCATGTCATTTGGTAAAACCTGGGAGATCATGTTCTTATCAGACACCATAAGGTGAAAAAAATATATTTTAATAACATGAGTAAACTCGTTCACTTTAGTATAGAAAAAGAGAAAGATCTCAAACTGTCATTAGCAGGCTTTGCCATCGGTAGGGCTGGATTAGCGGAATAACCGATAAAACTGAAGCAGATAGGACTCCCTGGTCATACAAGAAAGATTATAAACTTTTAAAATATAACCCTGAACAAGACAACGATGAGAAGAAATCAAAATCAAAATATAATTGTTATTGTTCCGAATACAGTGTGTGGAGACATATCAATAAGGGAACACAAATGCTTCCAAAGGACTAAACAGTATATAATAACCATTTACTCATATAATCCACAGCAATGCCGCAACCTCAACATTAAAATTTTATAAATATTCATCGACACAATATCGTTACACTTAATCTGAGGTGCCAGACATACCAAATTAGAACAGGCAACAACTATCTGCTTTTCCAGCAGAACTCCTGCTAAGAATGTTAATACCTGCAAAATTCAAAACGGACAAACAGTTGACTACACCAGTTCATAGTTATCAAACTCTAACAGATGATAACAGAGCATAAAACATACATTTTCAAGTCTTAAGGTACCACATAAGCAAGCTATAGTCCATACAGATAATGAAGTTGCCTCTTCTACCACGGGAGTGTTATGTGCCTAAGGAACAAACAACAATGAAATCTTGAATCTGAACTAATATAAAAACAAGCTCATCCATTCAAAAGCTACTATGACAGCATACATCAGCTAACTCTGGACCGGTACTGCAACTTTTCAAATCAAATATTGAACTAGTACGACATGGTACTGTTCCGGCTGGTCTATGATATTCCAAGGGATGCAGGTGCTCCAAAGGATGAAATGTAAGTGCTGAACCCTTGGCAGGACACTTTAGCCGGTAATACTCGCATATAATTTGTAGCGGTCCGTGATCATTTTCCTGCAAATTGGTAAATACCGCTTACTATAAAAATTGTCTTCATAGACAGGGAAAATAACAGATATAGATGCTTCTTAAACTACAAACCATGGCCCATTCAAGAATATCATTTAAGTCATTTAACTTCTCTTGGCCAGAAAAAGATGCATCTTCTGTCTCATTATCATCAATATCCCTCCTGAAATTTCTGTCTTCACAAGGTGAGCCTTGAAAACTGCATAAAGTATGTCGAAGATTCATCATTTAAATGAAAGGGAAAATAATTTGAGGACAAAATGTTTCCCTATAAGGATATATCAAAAAACATCATAAATGAAATAAGATTGTAGATATTCTTATTTTGATTGTTCATATTCCTAGACTATACAACTTCCTAGGTTAGTGCTTATTCATTAATCTTCAATATATTTATTGTAAGACTAATATAAAAATAAGTAGTGTGATCTAACTAAAGATACACAGAATTTACATATTTTACATGGTATCATTAGTGGTTTCTAGGGCTATTCTACAGTCCTAGAAAAATTAAGAAAAAGAGTTGCAAATGAAATAAGTAAGGAATGCAATGAAAAACGGAAAGAAAAATAAGCAATTCACTTCATACTAAACAGCCAAATGACAGGATAAAAATCAACAAAACAAAGCGAAGATATCAATAAAAGAGATCACGTGAATCCCTCTACAAGTCTATCAAGGAAACTCCATTCTTGTTCCATCAAAAGAGAAAAACACTATCAACTAGGGAAAAAAGATAGCAAATAGACCAGACTTAAAGTAGCATATATTTTTCGATAACACATTTATTTTTAAGAACCACAAACCTGCAGGATGATTCAGAGCTTTCATACTGGCAAGAATGCAGGAGGGGCAAAATAGCATTGGGTAGATTACTATCTTCTAATTCCTTATTGGTTGCAAAAGCATCTCCATACTGATCACTATCTTCAGTTGTAGGGCCAGATTCTTCTTTGGCTGTTTTCCTATCAGTTTCATGTTCGGTGGGCACAACACTCTCATAATCGATTCTCTCCTTATAAGACTGCAGCTCTCCATCAACCAATATCTCTAGGTGACCATCACTATCTTCAGAAATTTTTGGGCCAGATTCTTCTTTGACTTCTGTCCTATCAATTTCATGCTCAGTAGGCACAACACTGTCATAACCAATTCTATCCTTATAAGACTGCAGCTCTCCATCAACCATTAGGTTCTCCGGATAATCGTCACTGTCTTCACATATTATAGGGTCAGATTGTTCTTTGACTGCTGTCATGTCAGTTTCATGCTCAGTAGGCATAGCGCTGTTATCGATTTTCCCCTGCAGCCCTCCATCAACTATTAGGTTCTCTGGGTGATCATCACTCTCTTCAGAAATTGTAGGGCCATATTCTTCTTTGGCTTCTGTCCTATCAGTTTCATGCTCAGTAAGCACAACACTGTCAGAATTGATTCTCTCCTTATGAGACTGCAGCTCTCCATCAACCATTAGGTTCTCCGGGTGACCATCACCATCTTCAGAAATTTTAGGGCCTGTTTCTTCTTTGGACGCTATCCTATCACTTTCATGTGCAGCAGGCACAACACTGTCATAATGGACTCTCTCCTTACTAGGCTGCACCTCTCCATCAACTATTAGGTTCTTCGGGTGACCATCACATACAATGTTTTCAGGTGTAGGTGCTCTTACTCTTGATTGAGAAATCAATGAATTTTCATGAAACCTGGGTTCTATGATATCATTGCTCACCAACACATTTTCTGAATTTCCCTCTGAGTTTTCTTTATCATAGCTACCTTCAACAAATTCTAAATTTGAATCTTCAACACTTTTTGTCAACTTCTCTAACCTTTCTTGAGTGAAGATGCTACAGAAATATCAGCACAATAAAATGAGAAAAAAATACATAAATCCATAACATAAACTAGCATGCCATAATGTAAACAGCTTTAAGTTCATGCATAAGAATACAATGTGGAAGCATATATCATTTGTAACTAATTATTTCAGCCTAATACAGTTAATATACAGCACACTGTCTACAAACACGCACACACAAATGTCAGGATAAAAATTTCAGTTTAAGTTCCACAATATATAGAACTTAATCTTCCAATGTAACCTATTTCATCATAGAAATCCTACCAAAAGAGACAGATAATCTGCAGCATTTGAAATATGACACGGTCGGTCAGAAGAAAGAAAACAACAGATAAAGGCTCTTAGCTTATATAAGTTAACTCCTATTACACCAGAACAAGACCAAAAAATTTTCATGACAAACTACACCCATGGGAAGCTAGTACTATTTAATCACATTCCGACCGTTAAGAGTTCCACACCAGACATTATGTGGCCGGAATAATGTGTTAATAAGTGGGGAGCAATATTCACCTTACAAGCCGAGTTTTGTAGGAATTAGTTATGCCGAACCCTAATTCTAACATGATATCAGAGCGTTGTTTAAGATCCATTAGGCCACCTACTATCAGGTTTAAGATCCATTGCCACCTATTATCAGGTTTCCGCTATTGGGTCAGCCACTATTTATATCCATACACCAATTCCAGTGGTGTAGGGCGTGAGGGGTATGGTAAGAGTGTCCCACATCTGACAATGTATGGTCTGAATAGTATGTGATTATAAGTGGGGACAATCTTCATTTTACAAGTCTGTTTTGTAGGGATGAGTTAGGTCCAACCCAAATTCTAAGACCGACAATATATTATTTGTTTCTCCAAATCTTTGGACATTAATTCAGTTTATATTTTTTCTGCAGCAACCTATTTTGAGAAGTGTTTGTGGCACATGTGCATGTATGTATACTTCCAAGTAGGCGAGTATTTAAATTAACTTTCTATTGAGCAATCTTCTCCATGAGCGCTTTTCAACCCCCCTACCCATATTTATAATGCATGCATGATTTGATAAAATGCAAAAATTCCTTCTATCTTCAATTGAAACAGAAATATCTCCAAATTAGTATGCTTAGCTTATTGACAGTTCAATGTCACAATACCATACATATTTTACAATGTAGTAGAGATTAATCCCAATGAATCCTCTGCACAACAGAAACTATTACTTAACACTATTTTGTTTGACGCATACAAGGATAACAGAACAAACCTACTGTTTACCGAGTCCTTTAAAAAATTAATGCAATTAGTGCACACAAATTTTGCAAATAACTTCGACGTCCCACTTACATCAAATGACTCCTGATTACAAATGCCTACCTATTTAATACACCAAAGTGCAGTTCGAAAAATGGAAGCCTTGAAAGGATGCAGTAACATCTCTGAGTGGTTAACACATATCGTCTTAAAGAAGAGTAAGATGGTTGCTTGTCAGAAATCAGAGACAGTAATCCAGAGGGCTTTTGCACTAGTTCTTCAACCAAAACACAACACCCATAAAGTGTTGAATTGTCAGAACCCTACAAAGTCAAAAAAAAAAAAAATACAAATGAGCATTTGAGTCAGAAACCTGAGTAATCTAAATATCGAAAAATCAACTTAGGTAAGATAGATTTGGCAGCTAATTGACAATAATAATTGGTACAAATACCTGTAATCTGAACACAAATGACAGATCCATTTGCTTAAGGTGTTCCTGCAAAATATCAGACAGACATTTAATCATCAGTATTTATCATTTTAGACCTTCCAACTGTATCAAGAGAAAAGGTAGTCAAGATTTAACAAAAACATAGCCAAAAATACCTGTCCGTAAAAAATTTCATTCAACGCACTCATGGAAGGGGTTCTCTCAACAGCTCGAACCTAAAAATATATCGGAGAAAAAATTAGAAGCTCCACAAAGTTACTCACATATGAAATAAAGAAATGTTATACAAGACAGACAAGTAGATCGCTGACTTTGCTGCCTATTTACCATATATCGGCGCATACATTATACCTAGATAAACTACTGCTAATTTCAAGAAATTAAATATGCTTATAAGTTCATTAAACATACACCTAACCTCCAAGCCTCCAGGGAAACAGAAAGAAAGAAGATCCTTGCATTTAAGAGGCATAGGTTTTTCTGGAGGATAAACAAACAAGACCTGGAAAAAAATGAACACACAGGGTTCATAATACAGATATATTTTAAGAAAAAATTAATAAAAAAGACAGTAATAAAAAATCGTTTTGGTCGCCATTGAAGTAAATTTAGAACATTGTTCAGTCTCTGCTACCGAAAATCACAACCTGAGGTTCAATATTGGGTTCTACAAGAGATTGATTCTGACAACCAAGTGCACTTCTCAATTTAGCAGATTCTTCAAACTTTTTATCAACAAATTGTGTATGTAGTGTCTGAACATCACAATTCGGGTGAAGTCCAACAACCACTATGCTCTCAAACAGTTGCGACGGCTTCTTGAAAGACCTATGACCCTGTGAAACCAATAAGACGGGGTGCATGAAAACAGTAAAGATACATACACATTAAGAATTCATATCGAGATACAACTGAATATTTTGCAAATTATGCATCATACCATATACTTCAACTGAAAATTTGCAGCCCATTGACGCTTGAGACTAGTCAAAATCTCAGGATTGTAAGTTTTGTTTTGATTTTCAACATCAGGTGGACTTGAAAAGCCCTTGAACAGTTTCGTAACTTGATACTGCAGCCTCTGAAATTGGCTACCATTGTTATCATCTTTTGATGAATGCAACTGAGAATTAACATCAGCTCTACGAACATCTTGTTCTTTTTCCATTCCAGTCATTTGATCCTTCTTAAGAATTGTAATTAGATAATAATTAGTTACCCTAATCTAACTATCATTAAAGCAAAAGAAAAAAAAATGAAGAAAAAAGGAAAGTGAAGTTACCTTTTAGAAAGAGGAAAATTGAAGAGAGGAAGAGGTGGTTTCTTATTTAGCACGCTTTCCTTCTTTCAGGTTTAGTTTTGGCCGTTGATACACTGCTCCGATTCTAAGATTCTTTTTTCTCATAGCTGTGTTTTTGGCTTGGGTTGTGTGGTAGTAGTAGTATTAGTAGTAATAGCTATTCCATCAAATCAATTTCTTTTTTCTTAAACAAAAGTGTCAATGAATTATGTAACACAAAATACTCCACGTTGGCTTAGGCCCCAATAAGCATTGATGTTGATATTAGATAGATATAGATAAGCATTGGTATTGTAATAGATGCTCCATTTAGAGAGAAAAATGTGATAGGATACTTTATAGTTTAGTTATGAAATATAATGATATAAATTATTAGTGGAACTCTTTTAATAGAAAAAATTGGAGATATGCTATAATGACACCAGAATTGGACATCGTATTCTTTGTATTCTTTACATAAATACACATGAATATAATAAAGGGTTAATACACCTTTTTTTGTCATTTGGTGAAATTTTAAAAAAGATCGTATAAAAAAAAACACAAATTCCGTCCTTATTATTGGACTACTTTATTAGGATGTTAAAAGGCAAGAGACGCCCCATCCACTTGCTCCTTGCTTTTATTGGTTAATTCCTTGCATCAAATATATGTATTATAATATTTCAATTAATATTATTAACTATAATTTTTAAAATCAGTTTTACGTATTTAATAAATAAATTGTTTAAATAAATATTATTACATAAATAAATACTATTAACACTTAAAAATAAATACTAGTTTATAATTTTTTAATTTTAAATTTTTAACGTTATAATACATATTTAAATATTAAATAAATAGCATTATATAAATAACTTTATTTAACACTATAATACATAAATAAATATTAATTTCTAATTTTTTTAATTTTTAGATGTATTATAATACATATTTAACATTATTATATAAATAAATACTATTTAATTTTTAATTTTAACTTTTTAATAATTTCAGTTTATAATATTAATATTTTAATTACTATTAAAAAATTAAAATTAATATTAAAGTTTAATACAAATACTTTCAGTATAACGTTTGATATTTTCATTACATTAAGCTTAATACAAAATATTAAAGCGTTATACTGAAAATATTTGTATTAAGATTTATGTAATAAAAATATTTGTATTAAACTTAAATATGTATTATTATATTATTTGTGTATTATAACATTAAAAAATTAAAATTAAAAAATTAGAAATTAGTATTTATTTAAGTGTTGATAGTATTTATTTATGTAATAGTATGTATTTAAACTATTTATTTACTAAATATGTAAAATTGATTTTAAAAATTATTATTTAATAGTATTAATTGAAATATATATAAGAAAGAAAAAATAGTTCAGTGGAAGCCAAAATAACTGGAGTCAAAAAGTGTATTACTCCTATAATAAAAAAGAAAAAAATAGTAAATTGTACTGTATAAAAATATGGTGTATGTCAAATTTAGTCACTATATCATTTCTCAAAAATTTGAGATAGAGTAAAGATATTGGGTGTTTATTAAATACTATTAATAGAAAAATATTAAATATTAAATATGAAAATTAATTATTTACTTTTTAATCAGTTTTTTTAAAAACAATTAATATTTTATTTATTTTACTGTTTATTTTCAACCTAAACTTTGATTTTTTTTAAGGATACTTGCTGATAGCGTGTGGTTCAGGTCATAAGTCTGAAAAGTGAAGCAGTGAAATCGTTGGTTTAGTACACTGTAGTTGTCATTAAGAAAACGTACAATAAGGGGAGGAAAGAGATAGAGACTGAGTAAGAAAACTGAGAAATAATCAATTACATAATAGAGATAATAGAGAGTTGTTTAAAAATTTACTTTTTAGTAACTATGTCTCAAATCATCAAAGCTATGAGTGAGTTAGGATGTAGTTCACATAGTAATATTAGTAACTAAACCTTAGTTTCTGATACCTTAAATAATGATAATTTTGAATTAGATCAAGATAATTTTCAAAATCACGAATTAGAAATTCAAGAAATAGATAACATATTAGTTATTTGGTCTATGCCAAAAATTAAATTAAAACAAATTTTTAAAATTAGCACGTTTAATTTTAATAGTCAAAAAATTATTCATACTACAAAATTTGCTACATCTATATGCAATAAACATGAAATCATTAATTTGTTAAATAGAAAGTTATTAGAAAATCATGTTAGAGAAGTATATTGTTATATCCATCTAGGATTAGTCCAAATAGCTATAAAGCCTTTATATAAACCATGGCTAAACACCCTTATGATGTTAGTCCTTTGTGATACTCGTATTAAAGATTTTCATAACTCAACTATTGATATAGTTGAATTTAACATTAATGATGGTCTGATCCGTTGTCGCACGCAGGTCAAAAACGAGTTTAAGAAAAATTAGTAATTGAAAGCGATGCTCAAATGTCGTATCGCAAGTATTCTGGTACTATTATTAACCAACAATTAGAACAATGGGGGATTTTAAGTTTCGATTAACAGAAAATATAGTGCAAATAAGTGATTATAAAAATAAGTCAATCTACTGTTTTTGGTTTCCGGCTATTCATTGATTTTTTTCCCTTACCAATTCCCTAAGCGGCTTCAATCTCTATTCGATTTCAAAATCAATTGACAAGCGCACTAAGATATTAAACAAATTGACATTCCTATATTCCAAATTAAGAAAACGGATAAACACAATCGTGAATTAAGCAAACACGATATACAAACGCGATTTAACGACAAAGCGGCGTAAACAACGATTAAAAGTTAGGAATACAATCATACGAATTAAATCAAAACATTTCATAACATAACAGATTAAGCAAATGCAATTTCATAGAATAGAATTGAAAAAGAAACGAAATTGAATTGATAGAATAAAAATCTCAAAGCGTTGGAAATGCGATTACAGTAGATCGTCTCTGGATGATTAGTTCTTCATCGTGATCGTACAAAGCAAAAATATTTTTTCGTGAATAGTGTAATGTCCCTCCCGTACCGCGGCCAAAAATTCTTTTAACAAAATAAGTATTTCACTTATAATTCAAACCGGGTTGGAAACATAAACCAGACCCATAAAATGACCTAAAACAAATTATTTTCTAAAGTCTGAAACTTCAACGAATTATTTGGGACTCCTGCACTCCGAATTAGCTTTTACTTCAACATGAAAGTTTAGCTCTTTCTCTTAGCTTTTCAACGCATATCAGAACGCGCAAAATGGCGTCCTGTAACTCCAGTTATCATCCAAACAGTGGACAGGTATCAAATAACCGCTAAAATTGAAAACAACATATGAAAATAGATTAAAGGCAACCAAAAAATTAATTCTAAAAACATAATAAAACAGTAAAATAAAAAAAAATAAACTAGGGAAATGCCTAAGTACAAACATAAGAGAATGTGCATTAATATGCACTGATCAAATTCCCCACACTTGAACTTTTTCACTCCGAGCAAAATGATAACTTTAAAAAAAATCAAAACAAAAACAAAACATAGCATGCATTTCCAAAAGTATCCAAGATACAAGGTACAAGTAGAGTTATAAATCTAAGCTTCAAGAATATGATGTTAGTGAGCAACTCTTTGTGACATTCAGAGCAAATAGAAAAAAACAGATTACCAAAAAGTACATCAAAAGCAACAAGATCCTTACAGGATAAAATTCACTCAATTCTCAAGTGTTTAGGTTAACTGTTTACACTCAAATCACAACTTAAAAGTCAATACTACTATAAGCTTGAAAAGACTCTAACATCTGCAATTCAAATACATGTACACACAGATCAAAAAGACTTTTATTAGGTTGTAACTTGGCCAAGGTTAGGGTGAGATAAATCATAAGGGAGTTGAACCACATGATACATCAATTGTTTTCAAACAACAACCTCACAACTTATTTATCTTCTCTTTTTGCTTTTATTCTTTTCTTTTTTCCAAAAGAACTATGTAATGAAATCTTTCTCTATTTTTTTCATTTTTCATTTTTTATCATTTTTTCTTTTCTTTTTCTATTTTTTTCTTTTGCAGCCAACATTTGGAACATCACAAAAATGAAGTTCAACCTCACATAACTCCATACAAGACTCTTTCAACCCTTGATTAGGGTGATAATTTTGTTTTTCGCTTTTCAGCTTGTAATGAGTTAATCACAAAAAAATAAATAAATAAATAGGCTCAAAGAAGTTTTCAAACAAATGGATGATATTGATCAGGGTTGACTTTTTTTACTAAGTGGCTAAAATTAAAACAAAAACAAGTTGCCTTGACCATACAGTGTGCACAAGTAAACAAAAAACATCAACAAGAGTCAATTGAAATTTTAGAGACTAACAAACATAAGTGAATCACACAAGAAAAAAAGAGATGAATTTTTGTATGTTATCCATATAAGGCTCAAAACTCATAAGGGTTAATGATCTACTACTAATGATGTATAATTTAGATTTTATTCTTATATATCATACTAAGAATGCACAACAAATTTTTTTCACATCACATCACAAAGTTCTATTCAAGAGAATTAAGAACAAAACTCATACTTGTAACTCAAAACTCAAAGAAAAAACATGCAATTATTTTTTTCATTTTTTTATTTAAGAACAAAACCAAAACAAATAAAATTAAAAACAAAACAAAGAAAATAAAATAAAGAAATAGTTCCCTCCACCCCACTTAAAACATGCATTGTCCTCAATGAAAGGACATAACTATTAAACAAGAGTGAGAGAAAGGAAAAGATGCTCACTGGTCAAGTTGTAGAGTAAGTGGGTTTTTTCAAAGAAATCTCTTCTATGGGTGCATCTTCAGGCACCGAACTCTTATGTAATAGCTTCA